CTTTAATGAAATAATATTTCTAATGAGCGAGCAGACCCCCAGAAAACGACATCCTGCACGCCGTCATCAGAAGTGAATCCACTCTTAGTTTACTGTGTCCCCTACAGGCACCCATACAGACGTGTTATCGTTTATTCAAAGCTTCCCTCTGTTGGTGGGGAGGCGGGGCTGTAATTTAGATCCAGGAAACAGAAGAGCTCATTGAATGAATCTGCATTTAAAACTTTGCTCTCATATTTGCCAGAAAGCTTTAGCTCTCCATAGCGATGATCAATATGTTTATTTTTTAAAATAGAATCTCCCTACTGTGGGACAATAAATGGATTTTCTCTTCTATGTTGTTTTTGCTATCAGTCGCATTTTAACCGCTTCTAATGAGCAAAGCTCCTTCCTGCAGCAGGGCAGCACATATCTGCAGGTCTACCATTTTCTGCATAACACCGGTGTGATAGTGGTCCTCTGCCCCCCTTCCCCAGCCTGACTGGATCTGTTTAAAAATACTCCTGTGTTGCTAAGAGGTTGAGGACTGGATGGATTAACCTTCAGGATTACCTGTAATTCATGCCAGGTGGACTAATGGAAGCCTTTCAGACTAAAGCAGCGATCAGAGCAGAAAACAGAAGTAAATTCAGCTGTTTTCTAACCTTTGCATCACAGTGATGTCATCAAAAAGTGCCTTCTCAAAGCAATTGAGCTGGAAAAAGACAAAATGGACGTTTGATGACTGCTGGACCAACATCAACAGACCATTAAAGATAAAAATCCATTGGAGCAGCTAACTGGGTTTACAGGCTGTACAGCTGAGCAGCAGCTGGGAGGAAGGATCTGTGACGGTGCTGCTTGGAGCATCCAGGGTACCGCTGGCCTCCTGATGGGCCAGCTGCTGCTCCAGCAAACCCAAACCATAGAGGTAGGCTGATGTCACCACAGAGGAAGAAGGTCCTCCGCAGCTGTGGCTTCCTGTGAAGAGCCTCGGTACGGTTCGGGTCCAGTAGCTCAGCGTGAGCACCATGACTAAAGAGACGACTGGAAACCAGTTAGAGATGTCTGTCAGAAAGTTTCCCTGAAGTTTTGCTGGACTCCTCCTTCCCTCCCTTCCCACCCTCTGCACGCTCCCATCAAATAAAACTTAACTTTCACCTGAAGAGAGAACTTTGGACCCAGAGCAACAGTAAAGTTCTGTTGGTCCTCTGCCAGGTAGGAACCTCCTGATGGTTCTGGTTCAATGCAGGATTAGATGAGACCCAAATCCTGGATTTGATCGGCTTTTAAAATTATTCTGCATCTTTTTCTATGACACCTTTTTTCATCCAATAAATTCTCCATGCAGCCATATTTCCTTTAACATGGTTTGACTACCATGGTTGACCTTCTCTGTTCGCCGCGGGTGTCTGACGGACGGCTGCCGTAACCAGAACATCACGTTTCTGCTCAAAATAAATGAAATGTCATCTAACCTTTGGAACCGACCCAAACTTTTCTCAGTCAACCTCCACCGGGAAACGCTCCTGTAACCCAGAGCCTCCTTTCTGAGTCCAGTTCAGTTCTATTCAGTTTATTTCTATAGC